CTAGGCATGTCAGGAAGCAACTAACTACCCTGAATTCATTAAAAATGGGTATAAGGGAATATAGTATTTGTGCAAAATCCAAATGTATGTAACAGACAGAAGGAAGCATCTCCGACCCAAAAAAGTATATATATTCTTGATCAGCATCCATAGCCGAATCGATCTAGCCATGTCCGTCTGTCTGTCCGTCCGTCCGTCCGTCCGTCCGTATGTATGAGCGCAAGGATCTCAGAACCTACAAGAGTTAGAGACTGGAAATCCTGGACATCCTGTTTTTTGAGAAAATTGGGTAAATAATAAGAGCTAGAGTCACTAAACATGATATGTTGCTTCTAGAATATTATATATATATATGTCAAATATCTTTCATTTTATACCTCCCCGCTACCACCAAATAGCTATAAATCAAGTTAATAACCCAATTTATATTACCAACCAATCTAAGCCATAATTTTAATGCAATTGACTTTTTGAGAAAACACAAATATTTTATGGTACAATTAGATATATTGTAGATAATTTCATTAAGATCGGTAAAGAGAAAACCAAAGTTATATGTAACTGCGCAATTGGATGGGGCAGCTAGCGAAAACATCAAGAATTTGTGTTTACATGTACACACACATATTCATGAGCGTCTCCTTCGCATTCTATCACATTCTAACAGCATTGTTATTGTGACTTTTTTCTCTAATGCTATTTTAGTTCCTTTTTTATCAAAAGTACTTAATTATTGGTGTGGCTGATGAGTAGAGTCATAGCAAATGGTGCGGTGTGTCGCGAGTTCGAGCCCTACCGGGAATAGTATTTTTTTACTATTTTTGCTGGTATGGCTGTTGAGTAGAGTCGACAGCAAGTAATACGGTCAGTTGCGAGTTCGAACCCTGCCAAGGAAACTTTTTTTTATACCCTAAACCCAATAAAAATGGGAAAGGGTATATTGTATTTGTGAAAATCCAAATGTATGTAACAGGCAGAAGGAAGCATCTCCGACCCCATAAAGTATATATATTCTTGATCAGCTTCAATAGCCGAGTCGATCTAGCCATGTCCGTCTGTCTGTCCGTCCGTCCGTCCGTCCGTCCGTCCGTCCGTATGTATGAGCCAAAGGATCTCAGAACCTATAAGAGCTAGAGACTTGAAATTTTAGATGTAGATGCTCCTAGATCCCGCGCAGATCGAGTTTGTTTCCGATAATAGATAACTTACTCAGTTTCCAAGCAATCGATTAAAATCGATATCGACATCCTGTTTTTTTAGCAAATTGGGTAAATAATAAGAGCTAGAGCCACCAAACATGATATATTGCTTCAAGAATATTATAAATATTTCAAGTATCTTTCATTTCATACCTATTGCCACCTCCCCGCTACCACCCCAGGGCTATAAATCAAGTTAATCACCCAACTTTTATTGCCAACCAATTTAAACCACAATTTAAATGCAATTGATTTTTTCAGAATACACAAATATTCTATGGTACAATAAGATATACTGTAGAAAATTTCATAAAGATCGGTTAAGAAAAACCAAAGTTATATGCAACTGCACAATTGAATGGGACAGCAGCTTTAAGAATTTCTGTATACATGTACACACACACATTCATGCGCGTCTGCTTCGCATTCTAACAGCATGGTAATTGCGACTTTTGCTGTAATGTTATTGTAGTTCCTTCTTTTTATCATAAGTACTTAATTGTTGGTGTGGCTGCTGAGTAGAGGCATAGCGAGTGGTGCAGTCTGTCGCGAGTTCGAGCCCCACCGGGGAAAGTATTATTATTTCTTTTTTTGCTGGTGTGGCTGTTGAGTACTTTTTTTTATTCATTTATTTGGTGTTGGAATAAGAGGGTTCAAGGTATCCCCTAGTCGGGAGCTCCTGACTAGAACCTCTTACTTGTTTTAATATTAACAATATCAGAATCTTGACGTTGTTCGGTCATAAGCCAATTGCTAGAAATTTCTGCATAATTAAATCGTTATTCAGGAATTTTACAAATTACCATATTCGATTCGGCCAAAAGAAAGAACGACTGTAAATAGGCCCACCACGGTTAGTCTTCATGCTTTAAATGAGTTGCAATCAGTAAACACAACAAAATTGCTGCCCCACAAATAATGGCGAAAACGTTTTATTGCCCTGAAAACAGCAAGAGTCTCCAATTTATATGAACGGTATCGAGACTCAAAGGGTGGAGCAGCCTTTCTGTAATATTCAACAACATGGGTCTAGTTGAGAATTTTATGTAACAAGATGGAACTATATTCACAAGCGATTGCATCGGTATACAACTCGATTAGATAACGCGGATCAAAAATTACTAAGACTGGCTTCTGTTTAAAAATAGATATAACTTCTTTCAGTATTTGTTCATGTTCTGGCTTCCAACTAAATCGGTTCTTAAACAAGAAAATTCTTAATATAATATTTATATTTTATTTTATTTTTTTTTTTTGCATGCGGCTGGCTTGAAGTCGGCCCTGGTGCTATTTTTTATCTAATAGCCTCTGTCCACTGCTTTAAGAAATGTCACATTTTCAAATTTCACATATTGGTGTTCCACCGGTTGTCGGTAACATGTGAGTGGCAAAAATACCGCTTCTTTTAAAAACAGCTGATCGAGTTTCTTTAATTTACATAGGCGCCGTCAAGTTCTTCTTCCAAAACTCAACAATTGCGCTCTCGAAGTAAGGGCTGCATTTAAGGTACTCTATTCGAGATTTCGCCATGCTTAAATTCGAAAATCTGTGGGATTACTCTTATTCTAAATTTTTTTATTTAATGTTGCCGGTTGCCTTCGTTGATATATCAGCAGTTTATGTTTACGATACTTTACCATTTTTCACAACATCGATAGAAATCTCGATTAATCATCGCTAAAAACACGAAATGTTCGGTGCGAATTTACACATTTCTGAAAAATGTGCCTTTTTTGAAAGATGTGTGAAATGTGTTTTCTTATGGGGAAACGCACAGGGCGCATTTCACACATTTGTCAAAAATGTGACATTTCATGAAATGTGTCAGAAGTGTGTTCAGTGGACAGAGGCTATAAGGCTCCCCCAACAACAAACGCCGCTCTTTCTTCAAAAATGCAGAGATTTAATCTAAGGAACTTGGGGGTCCGATAGTTGTGCACCCCTTGAATATATCGATACATTTTCTCATCTATCCCCATCTTCAATTGGCAATCAACACACAAAAAATTGTTTTAAATTTTGTGTTTGGTTTTATATATTGCTGCCCGTAAAAAGTTTTAGGTATAAAGATTACTTGACTCGAGCTGTCATAACCTAAAAGGTATGAATTCTTATTGATTGTTGGCAATCTCACAAGTTATCGATAATTTGAAAAATACTCGAGCTGTGCGGACATAGGGACGACCAACGTTTAAAATTTTGAGTGTTTACTCGTATAGGTTTATGTATACATACTGTTGCATTTGACATATCGACGACATCGATATTGTCAGTAATTGGTTGCGTTCTTTATTATCGGCCGAGCCGATTTCTTTTGTCATAGGTGCAAAGTATCGGGGCGAAGCCGGGCACACAACGGCGTTCAAATTATAGAGGAGTGGCAACGCCGAGCTTGCGATCCACGGCGCCAGAAGGGGCGATCGCTATTGGCCGCCCGATTCGCTCCCAAAGAGATAATAGGAAGAGTGGATCACATGCCCCAAAAAAATGCAGCTGTGCATATGGGCAGCAACGAACCATGTTTGAAAGTATGCGTGCGCCGAATTTACGCACCTTTGATGTTGCTGCCCAATCTACAGCACGGGAGTTCGACTTTGTCAGCGGTCAACGGCGGGTGTGCCGTGCTCAAAAGCGAGTTGAAGTTTTTCAAGTCATCTGTGCGGCTTTTATAAAATTGAAGTTTAAATTTAATTAAGAACGGGCCTTTTAGAAAACACAAATTTATTAAATGCAAACATAGTGCAAACCAGATTCAAAATTCAAAATTTTAAAAATTAATAGCCATGGCCCATAACATAACATCACAATAAGAAGATACAAAAAGAATTATACGTACCTGATCAAATGCCAGTAATATCCACTTGCACGAAATTATAAATAGCAACTTGGAGAAATAAGATTAGATGTTATATACCGACCTGAAAAGAGAAATGTCCGGCTAAATTTTCATTGATGGGGAGAGTTGGCATAAGAGCCGGCACAGGCTGATGCAGGCCATCTAAATGCCAAAATGTGGAAGACGAGTAGGTGATCGTCTCATGGTAGGGCGGGCTCGCTGGGTCCGGAACCGGGACCTGACCTGGAAGAGTAAAGTGGATTAATAGTGTTTTTTTTTCGTTAATTTATATTAACATATCACCTTTCTTGCTTACATTTACTTATCGCCACATCTGTTTATGTTGTTCATCTGTTAGAAGTTCCGATTGTTTGGTGTTATCGATTTGTGGTTCGTTTTGCATAGTGTTGTGTTAGTCTGTTTTGCTACAGACGTGTAGCTTTGCTGTTATCGATTGTGCGGACTGTGGGTCAGGAATGGGACTACACCCAGAGAAACCAATGAGCCAGCCGGCTTGGCCCACCGAGAACTAAACAGTTCCGTAACAATACAAACAAGCGAAGACAAAGATTTGTCTAAATCAATTCCAATATTGATGCTGCCAAAATAATTTGTAGTTCATGGAGTCGGAGACGCTTACTACTGCCTGTTCATACATATACACAAAATCATCATAATCATCATTGCCGTTTGTTGGCTCCGTTGCCTAGCAACCTTTGCAGCAAATTACTTCGATTGCTATTAAATTGACAACTCACACATTGCATTAACTACGACTTTAGTCTCCCATCTTCGAAAGCTTTCGTTTTCCACACATAACTGCCGATAACGAATTTAGATGTAGATGCAAACGCAGTGCCGGTGAAAACGTACTATTAGAAGTCAACATCGAACGGACCTAATTTCGTACATTTGATGGATATAGTCATTGAAGATGTCATCGCTAGACAGTGTATGAGACGTCGACTTACAAATAAAGTGGAAGAAACGTTTTTCTATAAAATATACAGTGTTTTCTTTTAATATGGGCACACTATCGGATTTTGGTCAAATAGCTTTGAAATGGGATCCAAAAAACTTAGAAATTCGTACCATGTCAGTCGAAAAAACTTTAGAGCCGTTGGTTTTGCAAGTGACAACGCTAGTGAACACTAAAGGGCCAAGCAAAAAAAAAAAAGGTGAGGCCGCAGTAAAAATTAATTTTAATTATATTTTAAAACGCTGTTAAGCTTTCAATTGAGAAGTTTAATAGGCTATTATTTCAACTGAGTTGGTTAAAAATTTTCAACAATAAAGGAAAGAAATGCCTTAATATACACAAGTGCATAGTTACATGTATATTAAGTATATACTATACTACTATATACATATGTAGTATGTATACTCTCTAAATCAAAAGGATAGGTTTGCGCCTATATTGAAAACATATATATTTTATAGCTAAATTAATAGCTAATATATTAGAAACAAATGTAATTGTACAGAAAATTAGTTTATTCAATGCTCTTACACGTTTATTATTGAAAAATTATAAAAATTGTATAGAAAAAGTCATAAAATTTTCTGGAAGGTACTAAAATTATTATTTTGTTTTTTACCAAAAAAGGGATTATGCGGATTCTTAATATATTAATTAATTGAAATAGAATAGAAAAACAGTTTTAATAATAAGTGTTGCCTCCTTGGTATCTTACAACTTCAAACCCCTTTTTTTTATATAGCAGCACAGAATGTATGACATGCAAAGATATATCGTAAGGTAAAGTGTTCTTGGTTTACGTTTTGGCTGGAAATAAACGATTTTGCGAATCAAGCATTATAAATTATCCTTTTTAATATCCATGACAATGGTCCAAAAAGTTATCTTTACTTTGAATATACAGATTTCAATAACAATATAAAGCGTATTGCTAGCAAAAATTAAGTAAATTCTTAAAAAGTTGACTTAGATCTAACTGATATGATGACTGCGTAAATAAACTTCGTCGCTTCGCAAATCGTGAAAATATTATTTGTATCCATTAGGTCTACCAAAATGAAAAAGTTCTTCAAGATAAAGTTTGATCATTCCAAATCATAGCTTCGAAATTGTGTGTGTACAGACAAGCAACTGTGTATGGCATCTCTTCGAATAATGTTCGAACTGTGATTGAAAGAAATTTGACAATCAATGCATACCTAGATAAAGAAAAAAGATTCTGCAACTGCAACGCTGTAGATAACATTGTTACTGACACGCGGCTAAGTTGTTATAGCCGCGCACACGGCGTAAGATTTGTTCTTATTATGCACGATCGCACGGCCATTGACATTTAGCTAGCGGGATGTGTTAACTTATATATATATATTGTAAATAAAATAAATAAAATAAAATAAAATACCGTAAGAACTGTTTGTAAAGCTCCGAAGATGATATCTCCAGCACCAAAATGGATGCATATATTTATCTCGTCTAGCTATCAGTTAAAAAAGGACCCAGAGACCTACAACATAAGCCTATTTTTTCCGGTACCAGAAAAAGCTAACAATATGTATATTGCTCATTTGCACGAGCACTAGCGTGTTTAATGTTTTTGATTAGGTCCGAGAAAAAATAAATCTTATAATTAGTGAACATATTAAAACGATCGCAAAAACTAGGTATTTATTTTTAATGTAAAATATGTTATCATTGAGAAAAAAAAATTATGATTGTGTATGTAGGCACTTTATTTTAATTTTGAACTTATAATCTTGTATTCCTCGGCCCAATCAGGTCCTTATTTTATACCTTATGGCTTTATGGCTTTAAATGGAAAAAATTGTATAATGATTTTGTGTATATGTGTGTGCCTGGTAGAAGAAAGCATCTCCTACGCTATAAATTATATATATTTTTGATCATCGTCAATAGCCGAGTCGATTTAGCCAGGTCCTTCCGTTTGTCCATATGTTTGAGCGGGTCGATCTCAGAACCTATGGTAAATTGAGTTTTGAAATTTTGAAAGTAAGGTCCTAGTGGGCGTTCAGTTTGATTCCGATAATCGAAAAAACATTTTTTTTAAGCAAAACTCTTTGGTTTTAATAATATATAGATCAAGAATATCGCCACCCTCGCCACCACCCTAAAGCTTTATATTAAATAAAAGAAAATTAATTGAAACTACCCTCAAATTCAAATAATAATTTTAATGATATTGTCGCTTTTAGAATATACTCTATCGCACAAAGAGATGTGATGCTGAAAATTTCTCCAATATCGGTCAAGAAACACAGAAGTTAATCAAGAAAACGTGTGATTATGTTGAAAAGCTTTGCTTTTGCGGCTGCTAGCACAAATTCTAAAGATACGTTCACATATACTCATAAAGAGAATTGCAATTGCACTGCTATATTAGATTTGTAATTTCATTAAGAATTGATTCTTGGCATGACTGAAGTATGAGGCGGTGAGAATAAGTTCGGTCGGTTCAGGGTAATTGCAGGTTCGATTCCAGAAAAGGGAATTTTTTTTTTAATTAAGGCTTATTATTGCTAATGCAAATGAGCGAGTAGCTCGAGCTGAATTTAGTACTGGGAGGGAGTTGCCACCCCGACGAGAACACACTTGCTTGTTTAAAACGGTTTCTATTCAATTTTTTTTTAAAGTTATAGTACTCTTAAGGATTCTTCGATTTTTGACTTTAAGTTTAATGCCTTTTGGTTTATTTGTGTCTTCATTAATGGAAAAAAAGTTTATATTATTACTAGGTCTGGGCCATTCAACAAAGTCAGTTTGGTTTTCATGTCAACATGCTTATATTCTGAACCCATTGAAAATGGATAATTTATTTGTGCAAATGTATGTAACAGGCAGAAGGAAGCATCTCCGACCCCATAAAGTATATATTTTCTTGATCAGCATCAACAGCCGAGTCGATCTAGCCATGTCCGTCTGTCTGTCCGTCCGTCCGTCCGTATGTATGAGCCAAAGGATCTCAGAACCTATAAGAGCTAGAGACTTGAAATTTTAGATGTAGATGCTCCTAGTTCCCGCGCAGATCGAGTTTGTTTCCGATAATAGATATCTTACTCCGTTTTCAGCAGCAATCGATAAAAATTGATATCGATATCCGTTTTTTTGGGCAGTTTTGGCAAAAAATAAGAGCTAGAGTCACCAAACCTCGACATATAGCTTCTAAAATAGAATATATATATATGCATTTGATGTTGGAAGAAGAGGTTTCAGGGTATCCCCTAGTCGGGAGCTCCCGACTGGAACCTCTTACTTGTTTTACTTCATAATTTTGTATCGCATTATTATGTATGCTAGTTGAATATATATAATTTATACATATAAATAAATTATCAAGTTTGTCGTCAAAATTAAAATTTTTATTCCATTTTGGCAATATATATCTGTGTCCCTATAAAGATATTTTTTAACGAATTATTTATATTTCATAGAAATATAATATGTAGTGTATTTTGTGAAACGTAAATCAACGAACAGGGAATACTATTGAGCAATGGTCATATATTCTTTTATATTTTGCATGAATATCTATAGTCTATTTTTTATTCAAAAATATATAATCTTGTTATGTAAATACATTTTGTATATAAGTATATACATATTATATTTTGTTCATACAAATTAAAAAAACATTCTGGTTGATCCTTCCTATGAATGTCTCAAAGATTAAGCCATGCATGTCTAAGTACACACGAATTAACCGTGAAGCCCCAAAAGGCGTTTTATATCAGTTATGGTTCCTTAGATCGTCAACAGTTACTTGGAAACCTGTGGTAATTCTAGAGCTAATACATGCAATTAAAACACGCACCTTTTGGAATTTTGCTTATAAAAGGCAAAACCAAGCAATCTCAAGATCGTTATATTGGTTGAACTATAAATAACATGCAGTTCGTATGGTCTTGTACCGACGACAGATCTTTCAGATGTCTGCCATATCAACTTTTGATGGTATTATGTATGACTACTATTGTTACAACGAGTAACTAGAACCCGGCGCGTAAATTATCCACTTCCTGCTCGCGGAGGTAGTGACGAAAAAAAACAATACAGGACTCATATCCGAGGGCCTGTAATTGGAATGAGTACACACTTTAAATACCTTAACAAGAACCGTGGCACTGTAATCTATTAGCATAAATATTTATCATAAAATGCGCAAGCTATTAGGATTGCGTAATTAACATGACTATTAATGGGATTAGTTTTGAAATAGTTAATTTAAGTTAGTTAACGCGATCCCGGGGCTCCCTATAAAGTTATGTATAATAATATTTATATTATTTATACCTCGAACTGGAACTTACCTTAAGCATATATGCTGTGACCCAAAAAATGGTGAACTATACTTGAATACGTTGAAGTCAGGGGCAGCCATGATGGAAGACCGAAACAGCTCTGATGTGCAAATCGATTGTCAGCATTGAGTAAGGGGCGAAAGACCAATCGAACCAACTAGTAGCTGCTCATCCTGGCAACAGGAATAACCATTAGGAAGCCGTCAAGCTGCATCTCGAACGCGAAACTTTTTTAGACCGACAAGGAATGGATTTTTCCAAACGTGTAAAACACCCCCAATTAAATTCGAACGAAGATCTTTAAGAAATAGTTTGAGGAAGATATGGTGTACACAAAAAATTACATTTAAACGTTTTACACATCTTTCTCATACTTGCTGGTGCATTTTTACAAAACCCAGTCTTATCGCGCACCTTTACCACATAAGGTAAATACATTTGTAAACAGTAAACGTTAATGTAAATTTTCAAAAGCCAACAGCTAAAAATGCTAGTGTTGTAAGGCAATAGTAGTATAAGCTATATATATATGTCGAAGCGGCCGTAGGGTCAGAATTTTTTACATTTTGAGCAGCGAGTCCCGGCATCTTTGTTGGTGGCATTTGCTTCTCTTTTCTAAATTTCACAGTGCACAATCACGTCCGTTCGCTCAGACCATTTACTTCTGTCTGTCCACATCAATCCTTTGCCTCGCAACGCCACAAATAGTAACGAAAACCAGCGGTAACCGCTTTTGCTTCTTGCAACGCATCGAAAACCAGCCGTAACCGCTTTTGCTTCTTGCAACGCAACGAAAACCAGCCGTAACCGCTTTTTCTTCTTGCAACGCTTTCTTCGTGTCCTTACACGAATCAGCTTACAATGAACTACACGCACACCAACAACT